ATAGGAACGAACCCCTCTTAGAACAGCTCAAGAATTTGAGTTTAAATCTGTTGGAGAAGAACCAAGAGATCGAAGGAATGAAAATACAATTCAATTCCATTAAAGCGAGATATGATACCGAAATGCAGAGTTTGAGACAACAAATGGAAAGCTATAAAAGTGATGAACAGATCCTTAACAATGAATTGAATGAATTGAGAAAAGTTAAGTTCAATTTTCAGTCGCGTTTGACTGAATTGAGAGTCGCTCTCAAGAATAGTTGCGAACAAAACCAGAAACTCAGGCAACAGTTGACTGCCTGTCAGGTGATTTATCAGGAGTCCGATATCAATGAGGAACTTGTGGCCAAACTTTTAGACCAAAGCGTTGACACCACTAACGAAGCGAAGTAATGAAAATCTTGAGCCATATTTCCAGTCAAATAAATGAATTAAAATATATTGTCTTAATTTTGCAGACCTTTAGTGAATCTTCAGGCGTGTGTGGACTCATTGAAACAAGAGATGGAATTATTGCAAAAACAAATCTCCGATAATTAGCCCAATATTGTGCACAAAAGTGGATGCATTGAAATCACATCATTTTAAGCCTTAATTTATAAATCCATTGTTAAACTGACGAAAAGTATAGCTTTCAGTGCCTTTTATGAAACAAAACTATAATCTTTTGATAATATAAACTGTGTTTGTAATGAAATTTCATTTCATTTATGAAATGTAAAAATTGAAATTCTAGTCGACTTTCAGGTGAAATAACTGAAACATGATTTTTTATTTAACTTTTTATTTATTCACAAATTCATAAATTAATATATTTTTCCAATTATTGATTGCTTTTTATGATAAACTTTTAAAACATGTAAAACGGATCCAAAACTAATAAAACTGACGTTCATTTATGTTTGATAACACTCTACTCGGTATCACTTTTATCATTAGTGGAGTGATGGTTACGGAACATATCAGTGATGTAGTCGTTCACCTCATCCTCTTCATCGGAGTCATCGAAATGTCTTCGCGACAAATGCTCTTTGAATGACGACAAACAGTTGGTCCCATATCATTAGTGGAGTGATGGTTACGGAACATATCAGTGATGTAGTCGTTCACCTCATCCTCTTCATCGGAGTCATCGAAATGTCTTCGCGACAAATGCTCTTTGAATGACGACAAACAGTTGGTCCCATACGAGCACTCGCGACATTCATAGACCTTCAGGTTCTCGTGCTTTTTGCTCTTTTGGATGTGACGGATGATATCGTTGAGAATGTTACCAACCTGGTCATTCAGAATTTATTTTATAAATTCATCCAAGGACATGTATACAAAATGAATGAGTAAATGAATGCATAGTCTATGCCACTGAATCTCAACGATACTTATAATATGTATCTTTTCTAGATAGGAGTCTAAATCATTAGTAAGTCGTAACCCATAACTTAATAATACGTTCATAATATGAAAATAATGTAAATTATTGATGAATTGATAAAAATTTTGATTCATTTGTCGACTGACATGGTGTGTATAGGTTAATGCTAACTGACCAGTTTATAATATTATGGTTTATAAGTTGCGGGTTGAGATTCAGTGCGGTAACCGTTTCATTGAGTTTTATCTACAATTCAACATCAATTCAAATCACTATTTCTGACCACAAATCACTCCATTTCTCACACTTTCCTCTCAAGTTTAGAGTCTAAACACATTCTTCAAGTTTGTAATTACCATAAAATAAGATAATATAAGATAAAAAATGGTCGGAAATACTTGCATAAGCACAATAGGGGCACTGCGGAAGAAGATAATAAGACAATTAATTAACCATTTATTCGTATAATTAAGTGTTGATTTGCGCAAACCTTATATTTAGAGTTGATGTGAGCGTTAACGTGGAACTGGAGTTTGTCTTTACTGGTAGTTTTGAACTCACAGTCGGCAAACTCACACGAAAAGTTTGTACTCTGGGCCACACTTTGACCCACCCTTCCAGTGGTCGGCAACTTATATGGCATTGAATTCGATGGTTTCGACGGAACAATGGGGTTATGAGTGATGGCAGGAGGAGGAGAATCAGACAAATTGATGATTTCTGGTTCACTGCCATCCGATGAATTGGTGTCATAACTGGATGTAGTGTTTGCAAAGCGAGTGCTTTTGTTACCCGTACTCTGAGTAGTGGTACGATTAGCAGTGTATGGCCTGTAAAGGTTGGAACTATTGGTGCCGTTAGTTCTGGTGGTATTAGCAAAAGTGGTGGTTCTTTGAGGCTGTGATGGTTTTGGTGGTCGTGTTGAATGAGTCTGTTGTGAGGGCCGCACATGACTCCCGATATCGACATAAGTGATGGACTGAATGATTCCGTTATGATCTGATTGGTTATGTTGTGTCCATTGACCCAAATGAGTGAAATATGT